TGGCATAAAATGCAAAAAGTTTGGGAAGCACTGGTCTACCTATTGAATCAATGAAAGCACTAATAAAGCAACCAGCATTATAATGTTCATGTACATAAAAAGAATATTACCCATCAAAATATTAATGTGATGGCTTCTTTCCAAAGGACAGTTTGCTTTCTCCAGGCAACAATAACAGTGCTCGTATTTTACATCTGAGGGCCATATAGTTTTCTAGGCTGAACATCAGCAAAGTGCCATTGAGGGCTACGTACAGCTCCAGCATGAATTTCTGTCAAAAACTCTACTGTACCTGTGATATTCCTGGCTATTTACCTTTTTCAAATGCCTTTAAGAACTTCCATCAAGAACAACAACCGAAATTTTGGTAAGTTTTTTGATCTAATAACCTTAATTAGTCACTGAAGTAGATCCACATGGGAAAATGCCCATAATCATGAAAAGAACAAAAAAAAAAAAACTTCTTGCGGGAATTGCAATGTACTATTCTTTCAAACTCATTTGATAAACTGTTTTTACTTTCTTTACATAGTAACAATACCACTCTGATGTGCTTTGGTCCTAGTATACATCCAGCAAAAAGCACTTTAATTCATTGCATGAAAGTTGCATGAATGCAATTCATACAATTTCATTGCATGAAAGATGTCTTTGCCTATGCTTCAGCACAGAAATTACAGAAGAGGACCTAGAGAAGCTCCACTTAACTAATAGTTTTGCAATGTATACTGGTGTTTATAGGTATTGGCAGGCATACTCTTACAGAATCAGGCTCTTAGGTGGCCAAAGCTGTGTTCAGTCCTGAACATGCTCATCCTCTCCTAAGACAGGCACATGATGGGACGGGCTCTGTACCCAGAGGCATCTCTGTTGGAAAAGCCTCCTCTTTATTGTGTATTAAATAAGTGACTCATTTCTAAAGTGCAGTCACTTTTGAACTAGGGAGGTTTGGGTAATCATTTAAAGCTGTGGTTTCACAGACCGCTGAGATCTCCTAAGGGCTTCCTGCTACTGAAGGAGAAAGTCTCTTTTCCTTTGTCCTTGGTCCTGCCTCCCCCACCCCAAACTCTGCCACTTTGATCCCTGCTCCTAGCTAGTGTTTTCCTCCATCCCTTAAACCGGCTCTGATGCTCAAAAAAATCTTTTGTGAGCTGATTTAACTCATTAACCCAGCAGAAAACCATCTCATTCTTTTTGCTGGGTTTGTTTCCCATCAGATTAGTGTGTTAAAGCAGGTCATGGCAGGGACTGAGCATCAGAGGGATATAAGTGGAAGGAATACACAGCAAGGAATGTGGCAGGAGGAGACAAGGAAGGACAGAAAGTGGCTGTTAAATGGCTCATCACATCGTATGAAAAGTCTGTTGGGATAAGGAATATGCTAATCCATTATTTAGTACAGACCCTGAAGTAATTAAGTTTTAACAAATGTTCTTGTGTGGGTTCTGTATGGCTCTTCTCAAGTGTTTCTAGGAAGGCATCCCTGCCCTTCTTTGCTCTTGGCTGTTTCTTTTATGTATATTACCACGCAAGTCTACCAGGTTTAAAGACTAAACTAAATGGACGAGAAACAATACCCCAACTTTCTGCAATGGTCTTCTGTATTTGTCTGGACTTTGGTTATCTAAAGCAGTGTTACACTCCTCCAATTCTTTTTCTGAGTTTGAAAGTCCCCTGAAATCACAGTTGTCCAATGGGGTTCCACAGCTCCCATGTCATCTGGATAAATCTCATTATAGGGCCTTTAATCCCAATCCCTGCGCATCCAAAGAAGAGCAACGAAGCTGGTGAAAGGTCTAGAGAAGAAGTCTTATGAGGAGCGGCTGAGGGAACTGAGGTTGTTCAGCCTGGAGAAAAGGAGGCTGAGGGGAGACCTTATCGCGCTCTACAACTGCCTGAAAGGAGGTTGTAGTGAGGTGGGGGTTGGTCTCTTCTCCCAAGTAACTAGCGATAAGACGAGAGGAAATGGCCTCAAGTTGCGCCAGGGCAGGTTTAGATTGGATATTACGAAAACTTTCTTCACTGAAAGGGTTATCAAGCCCTGGAACAGGCTGCCCAGGGAAGTGGTTGACTCACCATCCCTGGAGGTATTTAGAAGATGAGCAGACGTAGTGCTTAGGGACACGGTTTAGGGGTGGACTTGGCAGCATTAGGTTAACAGTTGGGACTCGATGATCTCAAGGGTCTTTTCCAACCAAAATGATTCTATGATTCTATGAATACCATACACAGATATTTTGCAATAAGCAGTTATGAACGAGAGTTATGTGGCAGCCTGCTCAATCTACAGCTTAGTCACAGACAATCAGGCGAACCTGCCTGTCTTGCTTCTATGTACCATTTATAGACAAGGAAATGGCGCTTACGGACGTCAGAAAAAACTGGAATCAATCCCACTGACCGGCATGGTGAGTGTTTTGACACAAACAAGGCTATTTTTAGCAAATGAAGTGGAAAGGCTCAGAGTTTTAGGCAAATTTTTCTCAAGTTGCCAGTCCTCACAGCTGCCAGCCCCATGTCACACCCCCGTGCACAGGCATACTGCCAGCCAGACAAGGAGGTGGGGCAAGAAAGCATGGAGGGCTGAGAAGTACTAAAAGGCCCAGGATACTTGGTGTTAACCAGAAAATGCTGCTAACTTTAGAGTCCATTCACCATTTTCATTCTAAAGTTTTCATGAACAATTTTTTTTTAAATCCAGCACTGGGAAATGTGCCCATGTGGATTTATTATTCACATATGAATAAACTCAATCCCAAAGGTAGCGTTATAAGAACAAACATGACAGAGGGTACATTAAGGAAAAAATATCTCAAAACTCATCCCTCTTCTGCGTACTTTCACTAACTCTCTGCTACCAGTCCTTGTACTGTGCAAAAGAGACTTTTTATCCAACCCACTACAGTTGACCTTCTGTAACTAATATAGTCTTGGAAATACCATGGCATCAGTGGTGGAAATTCCTGCTTGGTTCTTTAGCACTGAACAGAATAGGGGAATAAATTTCAGGCTGTGGGAAAACATGGAAAGTCGAAACAACCCTTGTAGCCCTTCCATCAGAAATTACTACCCCCCAGGTGGGCTGAGTGAGTGGAAAGTCTGTCTGGACTTCACCTTCCTTAAGTACAAAACCCTGTTTTGTTTTGGTTAAACTCTGGATGACAGTGGGACTAAGTGGAACCGTTGGACTTTGCACAAACGTGTCTCCAGATAACATCTCCAGGGACAAATGCCTCCAGGGAGGGGCAAAGCACATAAAGGGATCCGTGGCAGCTTCCCTCACCAAAAGTGCACTCACCAGAGTTTATCTGACTACATCATGTTTCAAACTGTCATCTCTGAAAGTAGATTTAAAACTCCAAATCATGCAATTTATCAACCAGCCCACTCATCTGAAATGCCTATCTGCATAAGAAAGATGGCGGCAAACTTTTTAGCAGGGCGTGTTGTGACAGGACAAGGAGGAATGGTTTTAAACTAAAAGAGGGTAGATTTAGACCAGATATAAGGAAGCAATTTTTTACAATGAGGGTGGTGAAACACTGGCACAGGTTGCCCAGAGAGGTGGTAGATGCCCCATCCCTGGAAACATTCAAGGTCAGGTTGGACGGGGCTCTGAGCAACCTGATCTAATTGAAGATGTCCCTGCCCACAGCAGGTTGGGTGGACTAGATGACCTTTTAAGGTCCCTTCCAACCCAAACTATTCTATGATTCTATGTTTTGCAAAGTGTTACAGGGGTCACTTCAGTTTTACACACTCTTAGTACACAGTCTTGGTACTAGTTTCCCCTTTTTACTGTTGTTTATTTACTGTATTTATGTCACAAACAGGAAGCAACAATTTATAGGAACTATTATTGTTGGCTAAAATTCATCCACAAGCTTTCTAAAAGTAATACACTCACAAACATTTGTTTTGCTTATCTACAGGAAACATCTTGAGTAATATTATGGTAATCACACCAAAGAAATAAACACCAAGTAAACAAGAACAAAAAGCCATGTTTCAAGCCGTTCTTTTCATCAAAACAAGGAAATACAGGTTTCAGGAAAATAAAATGTCTCATTGCCCTACAGCGAAAGCACTTTGTTAAATCTGGGGCTACATTTGCCTATGAGATTAGAAGTAGGCAGTGGGGCAGTCTGATGGTGACAGCACTTAGCACCAATGTGATGACTTGCCTGCACGTGTGAGAGAAGAACACAACTCCTGAACACTCTGAACCGGGTATCTGAAAGTATGGCTGACACCAGTGCACATGGGCACGATACTTCTTGTGCTTGGAGCCGGTGCCCTTCTCCTCCTCACCCTGACCCTATCTCTGCTTGCTCAGCTGTGCCGCAGAACCTGACAGGTAGAAAGCCACCTTCTTTTGGAACAAAACCACCACCTTCTGGACAGTCTGGGTTAAACTATAGGGAAAATTAATCCTATTGCTCTGTTCATGTGGACTGTACCTCTATAGACTACTGATTTGTTAAACACTATTCCGACTGACTTAATCCTAAGGTTCTTCAAAATAGAGCCTGTTAAACTCTAGTGGTTCTTTCCCAGTGGCATTCAGGACAGAGATATAAACAAGACAAGAAAAAGTCATAGCATACCTTAGTACCTAGTTTTAGCTGGTATGCAACAAGATCACAGGAGTCTGGGCTGTCAGAAGTTTGGCTGCTGTGAAAGACGAGCATTATTTTGTTTAATTTCCAAATTTGGAGATTGCAAACAGTATTTTGCAGCATTCATTCCAACCATTAGCAGGTGTTCTCTGCAGTAACCCTAGCTGTAGAGATGTAAATGTCTTTTCCATATGCCTGTCTTCCAGATCCACATTTTAATTTTACAGACCTACAGCTAACCTGCAAAAAGTGGGCATCACCACCTTAGAGAAAGCTTGGTTACTGAAAGAGATGTGATCTATCCAGATGGCATGTCCTGCTTCTACCTAGGTTTCTTTTAGCTCTGCTTCACACACCTTCCCTCTCCCCTCCTAAATCCTCTCACGGAACATCATCCTCTTTGTTCCCAGCAAGCCTCCTCCTAGTTCTCCGATGATACAGTAAGATCTTGTGCCTGTTTTTATTTCCTTGCAGTTCAGCACCAGTTGTGAAGCTCAGCTCTTGATTTCTATAGTCTGGGCACCTAAAGTTTGATGAGATAGAGCCAACCTATTAATGTTTCCCCAAAAAAGAAATGTACAAAAGTTTTATTCCCTAATAAATGCCATAGGGCCACAGCTGTTCACACATAAATGCCCACCTCTCACAAACCACCTGCACAACTGATCTTGCAGTCACTCACAGTCTGCACTGGCACAGGAGGAGCTGATCATGTTTAATAGGTGTGTCGTTTGGTCAGGGTACAGATTCTTGCACTGCTATCAATTAGCCTGAACTTAACCTCTTTGGCTAAGTGGAATCAGACTAGCATCTTCCATGGTTAATAAAATTAGGTTTACACAAAACCAAAACAATACACCTTATATTGTGGCTAGATTGCTCTGCAAAATGTAAGGCTGAAAAAAAGCATACTGATTTAAGCGCTGCAATAGACCAAGCTCCGTACCAATGCGGTTTCATTTCTCCTCAGGAAGGCCGCCTGGGGTAGGTACAGAGCTCTATTTCCAATGAACTGGCTATTAAGGTTTGGATACAAGATTTGTAGGCAATCTTTTAAGGAGTGTTGAATTAAGGAGTGTGACTATTAAAAGTCTAAATTTAGTAACATTTCTAACATTTACTCTGGCACTCTTTATGAGGTGCAGAGAACATATAATAAATTGTGGCATATCTGAATAGTTCTAAGTTACCTGGAATCCCACTCTAACACCTCAGAATTCAGGATCTTGGAGTTCACCCTAGCTTGCTGTTTCACTACTTTCTCGTGTTCCTTCAGGCACAGATAATAATAAGAAACACCACAAATTAAGTTTACTGCTTAAAGAAAGCCATTGTCAAATTTATTATCGTTATAACGCTGTAGCGTATTACGTTTTGTCACAGTAGGATGAACTGAGGCAGGAGAAAAGGCCTAGGGGGGACTTTCCTTACCTCCTTGTTATGAACACAGTAGTTCAAAAGAGCATCACAGAAATGCTGTCCTATTGACTCCAAGTCTTTCACATGGAAATGGGTGTTTCGTCTGCAGCCTGCAGCGTCAATAGGAAAAAGACAGAAAGGCAAATGTCAGTCATCCTGCCGACTGCTAGGTATCTGTGATATTTCAGGATGGTGGCTGACTGCAAACTCGCCTATCTTTCACTGACAGACGCTAGACAGGTCTATGACTGCCGGAGTTTTATACAGATGATATTACAGATCATTATTCTGCCTACATGAACAAATCTATCCACTCAGAGGGGGTTAACTATAATGCATAGTTAACTGATTCCCTATTGCAAAATTTCCTAAAAATACAACTGGCTTTAGTTACTGCTCTTAATTTGCCACCCACTAACATTGTTCTTTCGTGATACATGTGCAATAATGCTAGCGGTGGCCTGAAAGGTTGCTAGCTGAATGCCCTAGTTTTAGTGTTTTTTCCAACTCTTATTTAAATCCTCATTCATTTCTACCCAATAAGACAGAAGACCAACAAGGGGATGGTAGCTCAAACTACCATTTTCCATGAAAAAAACAAAGTAAAGGTCTTGTTTCATGATTCCTACTAAATAGCTACAGGGAATTGTCTCACCCAACTTAGAGCCACAGAGAGAGGCTTCCAAAGTGTAGCTGTTGTTGATGCCCATCTTCCACACTACCACTCGACCTGTGCCTTCTTTGCTCTTTCGTACTCTGAAATGGCAGTCTGGGAATGAGAACTTAAAAGACAGGTACGGCATTAGCCTTTGAAGTAAATAGGAAGATGCAATAATTTCATTTGAACCCTGCAAGTTTTTTTAAATCTTATCTACCAGGTAAACAATTGTGAGTTTTCACTCCACTTGAATATTGCACAACATAGCTCAAAGCATACTGTTATGACTGGTATAATGGAGATGTAGGTGAAATAACAGCCCTTTGATTAAAAGTTTATTTTACTTTAAGGATTTCTGAGACATCTGCAAATAATTTTTTATGTGGCCGTACTTACTGTTTCTAAATGATCCTCTACAGACAGCTGACCAGCTGAGTTATCACAAATCCTGTTATATACCAACATGCGTATTTACTAAAAAGTTGGAATAGCTCTTCTCTCATGAGTTAATAGACAAACAGTTTGACGCAACTGATCTGGAGCTCACAACCACCTCATTATTGATATCTGAGGAAAACAGCATTAGCTGCAAGTATGCAATGACATCTAGTAGGTTAGTTTGTGTGTTGTTTTACTCCTGAGTCTTTGCAACCTTTCTGGTTCAAAAGAAGCTTACTGCAGTCAGATTTTGCTGGAAAGCGACATATTTTAAAAGCTGTCATTTCTTACGAAACTTTTTTTTCCCCTAATTGAAATATCTTACACAAACATGGTGATTTTGACACAATTTTCAACAGAAGTTTTCAAAAGGATACAATCTGGAGAAACGTTTTTCTTCCTTAGTTTCTTATTTGCTTACTTGTTTGTTTTTAATTCTACAATATATTGTAAAGCTGTATTTAATACATGAGTACACGATATTTAATGTTAGCTTTTGACATTGTTAAAACAACGTTACTTTGATATTCCATTTTTTTTTCATTCTTTTAAAAAAATCTTTAAAAAATGCTAACTTTATATCCCAATTCAGCATGACACATTTTAGAGTACTGGAATTTCAAAGGAGTTAAAATTTCATATTCCTACCATTTCTAGTTTTAGCCAATTGAAGATTATTTCACTGGGTGAAGTGCAGTCTTTTAGCAGATGTGATACCTTAACAAAAAATTAGGGATCCCAGATGGTGCTTGAATTTTTAGGTGAGTAAGTTTCTAGCCAGACATTTGCTCACCTTATCTGGGCAGCTCTTGCTCAGCAAGAGGGGGAAGACACGTGGATGCACATATGGTGCTTTTGCTTGCTGCTTTCTCTCACAGCCATACATGAAGACATTTTGTTTCCTGTTGTGACCGTGGATGTCGCAATACAGAAAAACATCACGTTCCCCCATCACTCTGTAATATGGGATGACATAGAATACTTTATTAAAAGTGGGTTTTTTTTTCCTCCACCTCAGAAATAAGTCTGAGCTAATACATTACACTGAAGCTCATGTGTAACCTAAAGAACAAGAAATCTACACAAGTTTCATATTCTGAGCTCTAAGTTAAACCCTTAGTATGCTAGATTAGAGCCAAACTGCTCAGTTCCCTCCAGAATAAAACACTTGTCACTGCACAGAAATAAGATACGAGTGTATGCATCATCAGCCTTTGTCCGTGTGTTTGTTTTAACTCTCAGGCTCAGTTATATACATTCAGCTCTGTAGATGTGTACACAAGCATGTTGTACAGCTGAAACCCGCTATTCTTATCTGCTGCTCTTTCACTGTTGTACATGTGTCAGATAATACATGCTGTACAGTTATGAGACTGAAGCATAAACGGCCCTGAATACTCTTTCCTTTATCGAACTGGAGGCATCAAATTTTATGATGTGTCCAAATTCTGCAATGTATTATTGCTCAACTAACTTTTTAAAGAAAATTTGCTGGTAGACACATTGGGGTTTAGCAACCACAACCCCAACGCCCAATTCGTGTCAAAGCAGAGCTCCAGAGGGAAGATGTGATGGCACCACAGCTTGTCGCCTGGGGCTTTACTCTGGGCAGGAGTTGGAAACCCACGGTGGAACTAAGAAGGAAGCAGTAATAAACGTATCTGTCTCAGTAGCTGAATATGAGGCTGAAGGTGAGTAGCACTTCAGCAGACATAATTAATATTAATTACAGGGCACTCACAAGTGCAGGCTGTCTCCACACAGTAAGACAGAGAGAGGAATTCTCATGGAAAAGAAGGACAGGCGCAGAGCTCATCCCCTGTAAGCTAGGGATCTACATGCCAAAACATTCATTTGAAAGAACACAGATCTTATTTAAAACAGGCTGTAACTAGATGAAAAACATTAAAGGTACTAATGCTGACACTGGCTTTTTGCACAAGAGTCTTGTTTGTATTAATTTGTTACAGAAGTTAAACCAGAAGGATTTAGTTTACTAGCTGAAGGTTTAGTTTAATACCCGAAGGTTTAGTTTTATATCCACAATATCAATGTCTCTGCGACTGGAAGTCTGCATAAGAAATCAAACATATTTGTGGCAAAACATACAGCAAACTTGGCAATCTTCGCTGTCAAATGGACATCTGGGATCTATTCTGAACCTAACTTCATTCTGGGACATAGTTGTATGCCAGAAAAGAAGAAAATGAGAGAAATAAGGAATTTGATAAGTAGATTTTGGCAGAGGATAGTGGGGAGAAATATGCTGAAAATGTTTTGACGAAAACTCTTTTACTTTGGAGATATAACTTATTACCAGGAATGGAGAAAGGATATTAAAGGAAAACCTGCACAATACTGAAGAAAAAAATAACCCACTCTGAAATGCAACAAAACAGAAAGGCTTGGGTACAGGGCAAAGATGTAAACAATACCAAAACAACAAGGGACAGGGAAGTCACACTAACAGAGAGGCAGTGGAAAGGAAAATCATCTATTCTAAAGGGAAAGAAAATGAGGTTACCTTTTGATCATGTTTTGGGTATACCAGATGGAAGGATAATATTTCTTCATGTTAGATCTGTACTTGCGGTTCAAGTCCTGACCTGTTAAAGAACAGCGGTGATTTCCCACAATCACACCATCAGGATTCAACATGGGTATCACTTTGAAGACAAAATTGTCCCGCAGCAGTTGAGCTTTTCCTGAATCGCCAAGAATGTAATCCAGAAAGCCCTTCATTATCCAGGAACTGTTAGTTTCACCCGGATGCACCCTCGCGGTTAGTATCACAGCCTTCTTCTCGGTGCCCTTGCCACTTTTGGGGGGGTTGGTGATAGTTAAAACATACACGATGTTTCCTGCCAGTGAATGGCACAAGATGTGAATCTTGCAGAATTTGGACTTCACTGGATCTTTAGAGATGGCCACCAGGTACTCCTGCAGGTTGGAGTAGGTGTAAGGATAGCAGTGGGCAAAGTAGCAGGTGTCTTGGTCATGAGGGAACTGGAATGTCCAAGTGAGTGAGAAATACTGAAGTCCACCTTGTCCCGCATTGTTTTTGTAATACTTGATTTCATTTCCAGTCCTTCGCCAGCCAACCTTGTGTTTCTTAGCATCGGCTTCCGAGTAGCCCGAAAGCCACATTTATATAAGCTGTTACGCTTGGTAAAGTTGACAATAGTGAAGCGATACGGCATCCCTGCCTGCGTATTGCTTACTTGGAAGTAGTACCATTGCGCATGTCTGCTTGTGTAGAGGTCGGTGCGCAGGGTCAGCTGGTACTCAAATTCATTGCTGGTAGGCAGAAAGAAGACAAACAGTTGTGATGCTGGTTAGCACTGTGGCATGATGCAGTGTCAAATAATGCAGACTGCCATGAAAAAGCACCCCGCAGTGAATCAGGTGCAAAGCCGATTTACACTGTCATAAATCAAAGTCTACACAGCTGCCAGGAAAAGATGCCTAATCGCACTGAGTGTGTCAATAATGCAACTGCTGTCTTCTTTAGGACTTCTAATAGTAACCAGGACTTCTAAAAACGTTCTCCACACAATGCTTTAAAAGGAGGTGCTTAAGAAAAGGTGTTCAGTTTGTGTGGGTGATTATCACCTATAGAAAACGTTCAGTGCTATGGAACGGCTATCAGACGATTTCATGTGAAGGTTACCTGAAACTATTTTTGAAACTTATTCAACTAATGTAAAACAAGTTACAAACCCAGAGTAACACACCCTGCTCAGAAACTGATAGCAGGCTGCTCATAATAACAACTGTGATAGTAACTCCATCTTAATAAAAGAAAAAATGATTAGAAACTTACACTTTGACCACCTTCTGCAAATTCCCACTCTCAAACCGTGCTTCGAAGATCAGTGTGTTGTCTCCTTTCTGATGGAGGATCTGCTTCAGCGGGCAGAGACCTCTCACTCGGGAATACATAAAGCAGGAGTTTTTGTTAGCTAGGGGAAGGAGCAGAACAGATGTCTTTCATTTCAGTATGAATGGAATACCTGCAGTATTTAGGGAATACCTGCATCCTTCTGAAAATTCCTTCTAGAAACAGACAACTGCATGGAGTTGAACTTCAAAGCATATCTTAGGTATGCGTAAAAGAAATTATACAAAGATTTTGCTGCCCATTCCCACTTAACCTTATGGATTTCAGCCAGCCTAAGATCTGACTCTGTCTTGGAGATGCCTGTCTCTCTCCGCATGAGCAAAGGGCAATTAATACTCTGTACTTTGGCAAAGCAACGGAGTTAGGTGGAAAGACTCTAGGACTTAGCTCCCCCAGGTCTTTTCACCAGTCAAATAGACAACTTCTCTACTTAGAAATCATATGTAGCTGACAACTCTTGCCATCAGTTTGTTTTTAAATCTCTATTCAATTATTCTAGTCTAGAAGTAAAAAAGGTGATGCCCAGACCCAGCAGCAATCACTTCTATATTGCAAGTGATGTTTTCACATCACATTTAGCATGCAGTTTGAGCCCATATCTCCTTTTGCTCTCTTCTGCTACTTTTTCCTCACATGAGAGGCTCACAGAGGCATAACTGAACTTTTTACTACAACCTTCATTACCATAGTTCATGAAAGACCAGAACTTCTAGATCTGCCATCAGCAAGAATTTACTTTTTTGGTTGGGAAGTTGTTTCGGTTCCAGAGTATTCTTGGCATAATTTTAACAGTCAATGATTCTCCCTTTACAGAACCAAGGCAAGAATTATTTTAAACATCTATTTGCTTTCTCTGCATTGGTGTCAATATGGTGGCAAAGGTGTGGAAAACCGGGGTAATCAAAACCTCCTGTCATCTCCAAACCGTACCCACAAAACAGAGAGAGAGGATGCATCTCTTCTGCCGAAAGCCGGGAGCCCAGAGGTCCTGCGGCAGGGTCAGCATAGCTGACGACTGAGCTGGCGACTCCGTCCGACCTCAGCAGCACGAGCTGCGCTCTGACGCTCGGGTTAGGGCCAGCTCGGGGAAAAGGAGGACAGGTGAAAACTGCAGGTATTCCAGGCTGAAACGATGTTCTGTGAGACAGTGGGTTTCACACTGCCGATATTGAACTGGCAATATTCTGAGCTCCTGTGGTTTTGCTTCTATCTCCTTACTGCTGAATCCTCCTGAGAAGAAACTGCCTCCTTACCACGCTGCCAATTAGGGGGACTGACCTGTACCATACAGCAGGGTTAGAGCTGCACAGCAGCCCCTGTTCAGATCAGAGTTGTGTCTGCCCTTGCTTGACTGGGGCTGTGCTAGAGATTTATCCTGCAGCAGTCTGTCTTATTCTCTCCTGTAGTGTTATTAAAGCTCTGACAGTACTACTCAGGGAATTTATGTAAAGCTAAGATTCCTATAAGTCATTTTTTCATTCCTTGAATCATTGTTGCCATACGCAAAAGATGCCATATTCAGTGTTCTTCGTGACTGAAGTTACTACAGACCCATAGGGGTTTTCATTAGAGAAGGGCTGTTAGCTTTGCTGGCTGGGATACCCACATGAATAATTACTTTCTGTCAGCTGAGATTCCATTCACAGTTTCTCTACCCTTCCCTTCCTCTTTATGCTTTTCCTTAACATTAAGGAAGAAAAATGTTTCAGTAGTTAATCCAGTAAAACTGTTTCTGGAAACATCAGTATCAGTCAATTCAATGCTATTGAATGAAACGCACAAATAAAATCTGAGATCTCCATCATGGTATTTTGATGTTTCTGCACGGGAGTCACCACTGGATTGTATTTTCCTCTCCCAAATCAGATTTTAGGAGGGCCTGTAGGAACTCAGCTGCAGGTAGTTCCCAGACAGGCAGTAACTCCCAGCTCCTTCTGAATTCAAATTCAAATTCAGTGGGAATTAGGAGAGTGCCACTGCTGTCTCCCGCAGGATGCGATGGCTCATTACACGCCTGTGGCACTCAGGTCATAAATCTGCGTACGTGCCGATGCCTGTCCTACCCTACAGAGCTTCTCTGCAAGGAGGATTTTAGGATTTCAAATATTATATTTATTTCTATATGACTTAGACGGCAAAGCTAGCAAGCTGGAGGTTTCTGTCCCAGGAACAGAAAGGAGAAGATGAACTCCATGGGGCTCCAAATTTCTCCTCCTCTTCCCACCTGCTCCTATCCCCCCGCTGGCCGCAGTGCCCAGCAGCCCAGTTTGCACAAGGAGTCTACTCTCCCTGGTGCAAGCAGGGAAGGGGAGGTAAAGGCTCCAGGGCTCTGAAGTTCTCTGCAAGTCCTGCTACCAGCCAAACCCAAGGCTAGGAGGCAAAGCGGCACACTCAAGGCAGTGAACGTACAATTAGAGTCACTTGAAAACTCACCCTGTAGTCAACAAATACTGACTATTACTATCCGTATGTTTAGATACAGAGTCTTCATACCAATAGCAAGCACTCATATTCTGCTTCAGCTTGATGTTTGCTAGCCCAGGAATTGCTAACTGCCTGTAACTGCCTGCACAACGTCACTCCTCGGGAGCAGGAGGGAGAACTGGCCATACTTAAAGGCAGCAGTTTTCACCTCCTCAGTTGGAAAGGTTCACTAACGAAGTCTGAGAACCATGATACCAAAACCACGCTTTGCTGGAGAGTTGTACAGGCTGAAATAAGAACCACTTCCAGTCGCCTGTGCATGAAGTTCAAGTCAGTAATAAAGGACGTGGAAAGTTGCATTTTTAAAGAACAGCAACTAAAGGACCAGAACAGAAACAACTGTCCTTGTTTTCAAAAAGGCGGGGAGCTGGAATTCAGAGTGTTCCTCAACATCTTATCCCTTGCAATAAATTAGCAGGTCCAGTTGCAGAGGACAGATGATCCTTCCTAGTCACACAGCATTACCAGTTTTCTTGGCCACCAAACCTACTAGTGAGAGGTAATACACCCATACTGCCGAAGTAAACTAAATAAACATGACATCGAAGAGTAACAGTGCTTTTCAGTATATTGCAAGCTTTTACCAGCTGTGTTGACCTCAAGAAGGATGCCAACTCCCTTTCAGTTTTGTGCTTCTGAAAATTTTGTGGCCACATTTAGTTATCCTAGGATTGCAAAATTATTCTCATCCTTTCTTATCTATGTAGAAGTAGCCCAAGACCAAAATCAACAACTGTCAGAAGTTCCAAGTTTATCCAAGGCAACTGGATCAACTTAGCAAACACAGGAAAGAATAAATAACTCTGATAATCAACTGGTGATGGTGGAATAAGGCAACTAACTCCCTTCAATTCTGTTCAGTTAACCCTTGCCAGACTCAGGAGCCTGTAATCAAGCACTGATCCAATCTGTCCAGATATTGTTTCTAAGTCATGGCAAAACCACTATAGCAAACAGGATAAAATCTTCTCCCAACACAGACTTTAGTGTTGATCCTGCAGTTACACAGCTCTCATCTTTTTCACTTTCTCTTTTGGCTGTTAAGTTATCTTTCTCCACTCATATTTTCACAACAAACTCATTTTAGGCTGGTTCATACTGTTATTCACTGAGAACAAGAGCTGAGCTGGACTTCTGAGATAATTAACAGTATGAGCAGAACTTATGGATGATGAGACAGACGTTTAACTAATTTCCTTCCCTATCTAGGAAAATAATTTATTCCCAAGTGCCATAAAATAACAATAGAAAATCACATTGATTTCATCAGGCTTTGAATTAGGTCCATAAAGGAGATCAAAGCAGGTGCTTCTTGCTACAGCTGACAGCAAGATTTCTCAGGGTCTTCCCACCTTCTTCTCCGAGATAAATCACAGTGCCTTTGTCAGGAGTTTGGTATGGCGGCGCCATCTCCAAACCTGTCGGAGTGTACAATGGCTCAGGGGTAGTGGGTATCCAATCTGAAAAAGAAGAGACACACAGAAGGAGTACAAGCAGGAAGATTGTATTAGAGTCTTTATAATATGAAGGACACATTGAAAAGCGGTTCATCCCATTTACATCCGTTGCACATAAAGGAACAGGGAAGCCCCCTTTTGAACCTCTTTTTTTTTTGATCTGTGAACAAATCTTCACTATAAGTCTAAATAAAAATACATATCAATCTGTGTATGGACTAACTTTTGCTGTGCAAATTTACCTCTGTTCCCTGTACAGCTTGCTTACCATCAGTGAGGACGACAGTGGTGAACATTAGACAGCACGGGTACCATTAGGAAAACAGATGCTCCAGCTACAGTCATTGGTTGCTGACCACACAGATGCTGCATGGCTATAATGCAGTGTCTCCATGTAACTTACACGACATCTGCCTGGCATGTCAAAGATCTGTTGAACACCAATTCATTCTGATAATAGGCCTTTCCTTATTGTAATAGTCACAGTAGTCGTATCCCATTCCATTCAAGATACTGGGATCTATTTTCAAAGGTAACAGAATAAGGGCATAGATGTCTCAGTCCCACCTCTGTGCATTTCCAATTTCTACTGATTAGTTCCAAATTGCAATTGGTTGTATCTATAAAGTACAGGGACTGTTCAAGCCTTCGCTATCTTGTAATAGGTTTGCAGTATGACTTTTGTACAGACTGCAAAAAAGCAGTTATTAGGTGACATTCATATCTAACCATATAGCCCTGAAATACAGTACTGACATTGCTAGTAACAGGACGTGAGATTTGTACTGAATTTGCAAGATCTCAGGACTGAGGCTTGTCAGGTTTTCTCTGTCTGAACTTTTCTTTATCTGCCTGCAGCTTGTTTCACGTAATTTAGCTGTGACAGCAATTTCTCTAATTGACCAGGTATATATGGCTAATTTGCTTTATTTTTGTTTATCTTTGTGTGGTACAACCATAGGCTTATACAGACAGTAGGAACAAGGAGTTGTTCTGTGTAGAAATGCAGACCTAGAGCTGGACAAAACTCATTTTAGGGGTAACAGAGAGAAGAAGGAAATAATATCTGACACATGTAAAGAACACTGTATATGGTAAATTCAGATGTAACATGGAGTTGCAGACTGATGAAGAAAGAGAAAGGTGTAAGAGTAAGCTAGCAAACATATGAAAATGACCCCAGAGTTATTTGGATCCTAGAGTGGGGAAGAAGAAATCATCAATACAAACGCTGTATTTCTCCCAGCAAAGGACTCCGGAGGCTGACAATTTGCAACAAACCACCCCTCCCCTCTACCAGACGAAACCTCTGCAATGAAACCACTGACCTTAGCACCTAGAGGAGCAGTGGAAGGGGACGCCAGGGAAAGGGTGTGAATAAAGCAGATGTATAACAAATTTAACTGCATTATTATTTTTTCTTTTTCTGTAGCAATTAGATCTGGACTACTAATGGTTTGCCTCTTAAGATTTCACTTATACTAACAATAAATTCTTGGCTTTATTTATATATAAGGTGTGCTTCCTCTTTGCCCATACACAAGATTTTAAGCATAACACAATAACTTACCAATGTGCTCAATTCTGTCTCTGATGACTTCACATTGGTGTGGCCAGTACACCAGGGAAAACTGACCGGCAGGTGACCAGTCATCCAGATTCTGAGACTCCCGAGGATGGGGTACCACTGCCTCCGAGTCAGATGATGACAGAATCTGTTTTGCCCTTGGAAAAAGATGAGCACAAATGGAATCTATAAGAAAGTGAAAGAACCCTCACATCAGTCTCTCTTGCTCCTCCGAGTGGAAACAGGCTGCGGAGATTATCTACGTGAAATTAGCATAACTAAGCACGGCACACTAAAATTACAACCCACTGAAATGTAAATTTAATACTCCATCCTATAAATCACACCGAATTTAAAAGTAGCATTGAATGAACAGTTAATTCATTAAACCACAAAGCACATCAAGTATTCAACTGCAGCAGGGAATAGGTTATTTAGGTTCCTATAGAAAATGTTGGCACCTTTTATTATTACTGCTTTTATTACTAATGTGTTATGCTAGGGCTTACAATCTCAATGTCTGAGTTAAAATCTGTGCTGTGCAATATTATACAAATAACAAACAAAGCTTATTCCTACAAAACGTGTCACAGAGAGTGTATGCAACAACGAGATAGTACTGGCTAGCATGATAGGAGAGGTAACAATCTGATGCCATCACGAATTTTGTAAAGCAACAGAGACATTTGGAGGATGTGTGGGGCCTTTGCTTGTCAGCAAGGAATTCTTCAAAGTTATGAGAAGCCACTTGAATGAAAACATGATAGGCAGAGAAAAGGCTTTGAAAAAAATCCAGTAATTGGATGATTGGGACTGCTGGTACTGTGCACTGACCACAACACTGCCCTGAGAAAATTACTTGTCTTTGTCATAGATATGAAAAGATCCCCTTTCAAAGCATTCCCCATCCTTCCTACTAACTACTTAGAGCAGGCCAAAAGATAGGAGTTTGGTTTCATGGGAAATTTTCTTGTATTCGTTTTCGGTCTGAATCAGATACCAGCACCTATAAGACTTATTTTACCAGAAAAAAGTTCTAATCAGCTTTAGACCTGGTTTCTAGACCTACTTCTCCTCACAACAAACAAAATAACATAATAAGCAAAAGCTTCACCTGAGGGATCTGGTTTCAAGTGTAGATGACATCGTATGTGAAAAGTAAATGAACTGAAAACCAAACTGCTGAACTCGTTTTTAAACTCTAGTGGATACCTAACTCTAATGGCTTCCTGGCTACTATAATGCCAAATCAGTAACTGGTGATCAAGGGCATGCTGCGAGATGGGACTGAGGTAACTATTTACCTAAGTCAAGACCCATAAAATGGCACTAGATCTAACCCCAGTTTTGTTTAGAGCTTGACAGTTATGTAAGCACTAACACCTTCACCCGCCCCCTTATTCTTCCACCCTGCGGTCTTACAGGGAAGATGTAGGGGAATAATTGAAAGGGTCCTAATCTGTAAGAACAGCACACTGCTGACTGTCTTCTGTCACAAATGAGTTTGGGGGGTCTTCATCCTAAACAAAAAAATTAAAATACTAAAATAAAATCGGAAGTCCACAGTAGGACAGCTTGCTTTTGTTTATTTTCAGAGAGAAAAGCTGCCTCTGTTTTAGTTTACTTTATGGCCTGCATAAGAATTAGGCCAAATCTTCATGGCCAGGTACTCTGCCATTATTCCTGGCTGCCACTCAAAGAAGACATGCTTCCACTTGTCCTCTTTTGCTTCCCCAGTGCCTCTCTTGTGCAGTTCTTGTATTCCTACTCTTGTGTGAAAAGCTAGAGCGGAAAACTGATGTAAGAAAAAAATGTTTGGTTTTCAGCTGCATTAATGAGCCCTCTGATCCCACTCATCAAACAAGCCTACTGATGCAAGAGCAGGAGAGGCAATGGAAACCAATAGCTACGACAGCCCTTCTGGTGGCAGCCCAGATACATGCCACATTTATCCCAAAGCAATAAAGACTAGGACAGGGAGGTGAGGAACTCGATACTGGGGAATTGAGGCGTAACACTTGGCAAAAATTAAAAAAAGCACCACTCTGCAGCCAAAGTGCACGTGGGCCATGAAAAGCGACCAACTACCCTGGGTTAAATTTGAAGCACGTTGGCAAGGCAGCACAGAGACAACAGCGCTTGTCCCCTTCACTGTGCTTAACATAGAACATTTATTTCCTGGGTTTTCAATCTAGTCCCCTTTCATTAACATCATATTCAATTAAAACCCAAAGTTCCTTCCTGGAATATATAAATGTTGATAACATCAAATGCATTTCACAGCTGGTAAAAATACACTCAGCTTTATTTACTACTTCTATTTACATTCACCACAGTTGCAAATATAATAGAGGGCTTCAAAAAATCTGCTAGTCCGGTCACTGACCAGGAGGTTGATTTTTACAAGTCAAGAACTGCAAATAGTTCACAAACCAAAACACAGATAAAATCGTCATGTGGAGGAGGTAGAGGATTTTAGTTTGCTCGCTAACGAAGAGCCGTACTGCTCTCCATAACATGGATACTGCTAGGGAGGAGCTCTCAGGACAGGGGTTTGGGTAGTGCAAGGTCCCAAAATTCAGTTTGGGGAGAAGCGTGCCCTGCCGTGCGTTTGGGGTGCCTGTAGGAACGGTTTGTTACTCGGGCTGCTCACTGATTTTCTTAGGAGAGTAAGAAGCAATTGCTTCTAAGGAGTTACAGCTCCCCGTGATCTGGGACCACCTCCGACGGGGAGCAGGCACCGAGGAGACTTACGGAGCTGCCTTCATCCCTGACGGCGAGGCTCTCCC